CCGCGCGGCCTCACCTGGCAGCGTGCGCACGCGGAGGTGCTGCGGCCCGACCGGGCGCACGTTGGACTCGGGCACCAGCGTGGCCTCGTAGTCCGTGTCCGGCTCCAAGCCGTCCCAGGTCCACCCCGTGGCGTTTCCTGGCAGCTGCTGGCGACGCCGGGCCCCCGGCTGGGTCCTGGGCACCAGCTCCAACACATAGTAGCCCGCGTCGGCAGTCAGCAGGGGTGGCCAGGCCAAGCGCAAGGTGCTGGACGTGACCTCAGAGGCCCACAGCTGCTGTGGCCGCACCGCATCTGCCGGGAGCGGTCATCAGGGCCCGCCCGCTGCGCCCACAGGGATCAAACCGGAGGAAGCCCCTGGCGGCCGCCCCAGGGGTACATGACACCAGAGCGGGGGGGGACCCCAGGGGCGCAGTCTGTCGACGCCCAAGCCTGCTGCGTGGGGCTGGTGGGCACCCGCGAAGGTGGCAGGGCCCAAGTCCTGTGTGGGGGAACCAGCAGGAACTCTGGACAGCAGAGGCTCAAGGGGCGGGGCGCATCCTGAAGATGGGGCCCCCGGGCCGGAGACAGGAGGCTTGGCCGGGCCCAGCGCTGCTAACTCCGGGCCTGGCCCCAGCACCACGCCCAGCGGCGACTGCGCTGCTGGCTGTGCCCACGGCCGGCCTGGCCCTCACGCGCCCTCTGCCCTGCGGCCCCGAGCTTCCCCTTCTGCCCCCAGGCTCAGCCACAGCAGAGGCCACCAGCGCCCAGTGTCCCTGGGGAGAACCTCTGCGGGCGCTGGCCTCGGCCCCGCCCCGTCCAGGGCAGCCTACGCGACGCAGGCTGGAGGCCCCCCACCTCCTCAGCGCCCCCTGGCGCCCCCGTGGCCCTCGCCCAGCAGAGGCGAGGAGGCGCTGCCCGCACGCCCAGCCTCGCAGGCCACCCCCGCGGGACGGGGCACCTGGGTCTGCCCCCGCGGCCCAGGGGGACGCACCCACCTACCGAGGATGGCTCTCCGCAGCCCCTGGGTGATGAGGGGCAGGTCGTCCACGTCCACGAAGCGCAGGTGGCCCTCAGCAGGGGCCGAGGCGGCGGCGGTGAGCTCCAGCAGGTTGCCGCGGCCGGTGCTGACGATGAAGACCGTGACGCCCAGGTCCTTCAGCTCCTGCATGGGGGGGCCCACGGGGTCGCTGGAGCCGCCGTCCGTCACCCACACCAGCACCTTGGGCACCCCTGGCCGGGCGCCCGCCGCCTCTGCAAACAGCTGCTCCTTGGCGTGGGCCAGCGCCAGGCCGGTGTTGGTGTCGCCCATGCGCTGGGCCGCGGCGCGGACGGCCTCCTGGACGGCCAGGCCCGAGCCGTGCTGGCCGAAGGCGAACTCGGTGTGCGGCCGACTGCCCACGTGGACCAGGCTGGCGCGCAGGGCCTCCGGGCCCAGGGGCAGCAGGGCCGCCAGCCCCCCAACAAACTCCCGAACTCGGGAGAACTCATAGTGGGACACACTGGCCGAGCTGTCCAGCAGGAACATCAGGTCCCCCTGGGGGGCCGGGGGTCCTGGGGAGAGGGGAGTGTCAACCTCGGGTGGTGGCCCCAAGATAGGGGACACGCAGGACGGAACCCAGGGTGCAAGCTTTCCCTAAGTGGGCACTGCCCTCCTCAGCCTGTCACGCGGCCTGGGTGGCCCTGGGGGAGGGGGGGTGGGTCCTGGCCCAGCCCAGGGGGTGGAGGGGGGGCTGGGGGGGCTGCCCCCTCTGGCTTACTCCCAGAGAGCCCCACCCCCCAGCACCTGGGTGGGAGCCTGAGAGGTGCAGATGGGGCACAGAGGACCGGGACCGAGGAGAGGTGGGTGAGGCGGGCAGTGACCCCTCCCACAGCTCAAGGGCGGGGCTGGGACCCCACTTACAGGTGGCGTCAACCCTCCCCTGCCCCTCCTGGGCCCAGTAAGCAGACATGTGCCGCAGCAGCCTGAGCCGGTGGCTCTGGGGGCCTGGGGGTCACGGCCCCCCCCCCGGACCTGGCGGCCTCAGCATCCCTGCCCCTCCACTCAGGGCCAAGGGGGGGGAGGGGGGCCGAGG